ACTCAATTAAAACACAAAAACACGATCAATACGAGTAAGAAATACGTGAAATGAAATCCAATTAATCGGATGGACAGCATAAAAAACGCACACTTTCTCTCTATTTGACAACAAATATATGACATTTGATATGAGAAACGCAAACAAAACAAAGATATATTACATAATAATTATAATATATTATATGATTCGTGTGTTTTGGTCACTAATCCCCGCAATTTGCCACAAAAACAATTGCCACAAAAAATAGCAAAAAATACAAACAAAAAAAATCTAAAAAACAAATTTAATGATAAACATACCATCAGTTGCTTTATTGCTATCCTTGCGGACACCCAACTGTCTCATCCCTTTGCGCACCTCCTCGGCCGACACCTGCTCGCCCTGGTAGGCGTCGGATATGAACTCGGGTTCAGCACCGGTGGGACTTTGGTCATCGCCGGGTTCGTCGGGACCCTCGGCTGACGAGGAACGAGAGGAAGACCACGAAGTATTGCCTTTCTTATCGAAAGCGGACAGTTGTGTCGACTGTTTGATAAGCGACACCCGATAGAAGTAGTTCCTCCAAAACACCTCTTCTTTGACACTATTATGGCAATGAAATTATATTTATATAATTCAAAACCAAATACAGTACAGATAAGCGAAATATATTTTCATACTCTTTGTAATATTAATGACATATTAATTATAGAGAATACGAACTCTCGTAAGAGTAGAAAATTATGTAAATCACACAATAAGTCATATTTTTGTTTCCATTGTGTCATCAAAACTAATGTCACGTTTTTGTATTCACTAAACTCTCAACTGATTGTTAAAACACTTGCGATACTATGCTATCAAAATGTTTGATAAATCCATTACTTGTCACTTAAAGGTAGGTCCGCTGCACACTAATCATATGTTAAAATATTTAAAACTTAGTGAACGAGAGAGAGAGAGAGAGAGAGAGATTTGAGTACGAGATGATGTTTACAATAAATAATTGAATCTCATTTGAAAAGACAAACATTTTCTTGAAGCAAATCTCAGGGAGTGATGAGTGAACTAAACATTTGCCTCAAAGCTAAAATCGATTCACAAAAAAGCTTTTTATAGAATTAATTGTGTGATAAAAATAGAAAATCCAAATGAATATAAATCTAATATTATTAATTACGAGAATATAAGCACAGAATATATCCCTATATCCCTACTGTATGTGTAGTGCTGTACGCAACTACAGAATATTATATCATAATAAATATTGGTATAAAAATTCTGGACTATTATTATAACACAAAAGCCTATATTAATAATACTTTTATTCTGCAGTAAAGCCCGCATTGATTTCTGATGTTTTGATGCAATACTGTAATTGTATTACAAATAAATAGAACAAATTCGAGAGGAACGGTATCTCAATTGGAAGTCTATATGAAAAGGTTATCAATGAAAAATATAATGTCTTGTAAGAGGCACCATATGATGCCAAACACGAGTATTTAATTATTTATAATAACTTTTTGGTATAATTTAATGAAAAGAAATAGAGAGAAAAAAAACTATTTGTATCACTATTTCTAACGTCAAACGGTTAGCTATAATATGAGAGGAAAACCGCTAAAAATAGATTTAATAAAAGCTTTTTCTTATAAAATAATTACAAGACATACAGAATCGATGGAAACAACTCGAAAAAATGAGTATAAATTATGGTATAAATGAGAAAACAAAGTACAAAAGTGCACAAAAAAGTGAAGGGAACGGTAGTATGGAAAGGGACTCACAGTTTGGGCACAATTTCGAAGCGCATTTTGTTGAGGTTGGGGTCCTCCTTGAGAAGGGCCAACGCTATGGGGTAAGTGGTGTCCATATCGAAGGCAAACTGTACACCACTGGG